CCGCTCGATGCTCCAGCTCCTGCAAGTTCGTCCGCCGCAAGTTCTCATGCAGTGGAGTCTTCTATGAAGCCCAAGTCCAAGGCCAAGGCTGACTCCAAGTCATCGCCCAAGCGGAAGAACAAGGCTTCACCCAAGTCGGCTGGAAAGAAGAAGTCGTCGGCTCAGACCAAGGTGACAGCTTCGAAGAAGAAATCCAAGTCCTCGCCAAAGACGTCTCGGTCCTCCAGGAAGACAAAGTCGCAAGATGTTACTGACGAGTCTTCTTTGGATACGAATTTGCCTGACTGGATCTCGAAGTATCCAGAGTTGGTCAAGCTTGCCCACCGCGCTTCCGACTTTCCTAACCCCGTACGTGGCTCCTGAGTTCACCACCATCAGCGCGCAGAAGTACTTGGTCAAACTCGAGCAGTCGTTCCTGCCGTCTCCCGTGTCTTCCGACGCCGAGATCAAGTGTACGACTGTGGGCATCGAGAAATTCTGCAAGTCCATGGCTCCAGATCACCCATGGCGAAAAGCAATGGACTTATGGCCTGAACACGCCTGTCTTTTCGACACCACGGACTTCCAGCTGGATTCCCATATCTCACAGCGAACCAACTACCCGGAGCGGCTCTGTGGAGTTTGGCGTCGGCTCCGTGGTTATGGCAACGAGAAGCAAGCTGTTATGAGTTTTGCCATCTACGTGTGCAAGCACTTGGTCTCCCCAGAAGCCGTGAAGTGTTTTCTGTCTCGGGTGGCTGCTCGGCTCTCAACCATCAAGGATGTCGACGAGCGCCGTAAATTTAAGGTGGCTCTCGAGCGTTTGAAGAAAGTTTGGTTCACGTACAACAAGGAGCGTGCTGACCGAGCCGACAACTTGCGGACTTTCCTTCCAGGCCGCATGTGGCCGTGGTGCGTCGGTCCTGACGCTACTCTTCCGATCGAGACTCGGTTGGACCCGACAATGCCGTTCAACACTATCGAGAACCTCATGTGGGTTCCTGGTTCGGCGGATTGGTGCGCGGAGGCTGCGCAGGTGGACAAGTCGGAGCCGTATCACGTGGATTGGCTGACTTGCCCAGAGCAGCACCCGTACAACACGGTGTACGTTCCGTGCAATGCTCACGTGCCGCTCTTCCTTCCTGTCAACTCGACAGTCGAAGCTCTCGGTCCACAGATCATCCCTGACTCGTCTTTGGATCCAGAGGACATTGACTCATCGTGGGATCGAGCTTTTCGTGCGGCTGACGAAGACGAAGAGATGGAGGAAGGTGAGGTTGCAGAGGACGACGCTGATTCCACCGCCACTTTGGACTTGAATCAAGATTCTGGTGACACCTCGGTCGATCCTCAAGATGCAGCAGCTGAGGCTGCTCTGATCCCGCTTTTCGCGGATTCCTCTCCGCCGTCGAAGTCCGGCGTTGTCGCCGAAAT